TTTACCCCCACAACAAAGCAAAGCACCACAATGCATGATAAACTATTTGGATCCATGGTGAAAATATTGTATATGGATGGACAACAACACAAACGGAACAATAAACATAGACTGATATATTACACAATTGAATAAAACAATAAGACAGCTTAGACAAAGACAATTTTGAAACATCAGCATATAAAAAAAAAAACCGAAAACAACACATAATCACTGAAAACACTATCTACACAGCACAAGTCATTGCTAATTCTTACCTAGAAAACTACAAAATACATAATCTTTACATTAATTTGTTAATAATATGAATAATGTAAAATATGAGGGYATATTTTTTTGTAAAATAGAGGGCTGTTGTATTAAGCGTTTAATATAGATATACAATAATATCGAAGTTAAATGGATGTAGAAATAATAAATGTTAGTAAGTAAAAACTAGGTTAAGAAAACAACTACAGATAATACCTAGTTAGATAAACAKTCAAAATTCTATATTAATAACATTAAACATAAATGCAAATAGGTTAAGAAAACAATTAGGCAATATAATAACAATTAAGTATCATTTAATTATAGTCAAATATAACTAGGTGAAGTTAAATATCGATTATACCACCTATTCGATTGTAGTGTTTTTGATTTTAAGATTAATATTTAACAATTATGTAGACATAGCAAAAGGGTCAGAGTGTGGTGATCGCGTGACTCGGTTACCACTGGACGCCAAACTTAATAAAAGTGCTTATTATTAATATTTGTTCGATTATTTGTATCTGTCGATGATCGGCGTACACGACAACGTACAATAATGGAGACATTAGAAAAGACGAATGCGTCTGCATATACTTTATTCATATCAAACCTTCAAAAATACTATCTTATTCCTATAATTATTATGATAATCATTAATTATTGAAATCGGAGATATTACTTCAAGATTACTCAAAAATCATAGAAACGATTATTAGTGAATATTATTATTATACATTTTCATCTATGTAAAACAGTTGTGCGGAAAACAATTACTATTGCGGTATTACTATTACTATTTTAAATTATATCATTGCGTTCAAATTTAAAACATCTCGGGAATTAGGGGTCATGAAATACTATCTACGAACAAGACGTTAAGATATTTTTACAAACTTGTTTTAGCGTATCGAATAATTTTGCTTTAATCCTTAAAAAATAAACACCTACAGCAAAATCTTTTATCGTTTTATGAATTAAAAATATAAAATACATGATGTAACAATACTAATATGATTGGTAATAATTTTTAACCAACAATGTTTATAAAATATAAAAACATTTGTATGATAATATGGGTAGTCAGAAAAAAAGCCACGG